AGGGCAGGAAAATGAGCTCAAGGCTTAGGATTCAGGCTCAATGTCAGCCCCACTGCAGTGAAAACCAGCATCAGAAAGAGACCAGAAGCCCCTGTTCCCAGGCCAATACTTGCATACACAGCCTTTAGACCTGCCCCAGCATCAGTTGGAGACCTGAACCCTGATTGGATGGATCAGTGTTTCATCACCTCTCTCTACTTACCTGTTTGGTATGCATTCTCAAGACAGCCTGGGGCCCTACGGCCACAAGACTCAGGTACAATTCCACTTAGTGATAGCCTGGATAGCCAACAGACTACCTTTACCACACCTCCCTCAACCATGGGCAAACAGCAAGGAGTAAGACTCCAGCCAATTGAGAGTAGGGCACCAAAGTGAGCAGAGCACTATGTCTTGGATCTGGTAAAAACATCACTGATAAGATATAATGGTCCCTGTCAGAGCCCTGGACCTGCCCTGGTCTCAAGGGGAGTTGTGGTCCTAGTCATTGTATTCCAGCCAGCAAGCATCACCTGTGGTGGCTTTAGCCCCCTCCGGCTGCAAGCCCACCCAGCAGCACAATCTCATAGTCAACTGAGCGTTGGCCCTGCCCTGCCCCACAGTATACTAATCTTAGTGGGCTGTGGGCTCTGAGTGTGATCTAGCTAGCATTATGGCATAGGTGGCCACAGGACTGTCCACTCCATCACTCCACCAACCCCAGGCAGCATAGCACAAAGCAATTTTCTGATTGAAAGAAGAAAAGATAGGTGGGTGTCACAACACTGCATGAGAAATTGGGTCTGGCACCAGAGGGACTCATGTGACCCTCCATGACTTTGGGCCAGTGCTACCATGCTCCTGCCAATGCTACTGCTAGTGCAGGTACCTGAGCCTACACTCTTGGATTCCAGCTCATGTGCCCACCACTACAGTTACTGTGGACTGACAGGTACCGACAATATCTGAGACTCTGTACTGCAGCTGTTACCAAGACCCACACTCCTCTACTTAGTCGGAGAGGAGTAACCCATACCCTCACTGCTGCTGCCATCAGTTGCTGTCAAAGAAGATAAAGGAAGAGCATATTTTAGCATACAACTGGAAATAAAGCCAAAATAGCCTACCAAACCAATACCGGAAGACACATCTTCAGGAAAAATCCTTTAATCATGAATATCAATCATTAACATGACAAAAAAATCTGCCAGATATACAATACAGGAAATATGAAAAAGCACCCTCATAGGAATACAATAATGTCCAAGATCAGATCCCAAGTAAAAGAGATTGATAAAATTGTTCAAGAAGGATTGAAAAGAATGGTTATAAGGATGCTCAAAGGGATACAGGAAAATATAGGCAGGGAGCATAATCAAGAAAATTGTACATGCTGTGAGTGAGAAATTCCAAAAAGAGATATAGATTTTGAAAAATAAAGAGAAAACTTAGTAATAAAATAATGATATAGAATTTAGTGATAAAGAACTCCATAAGTGAAAAATAGTCAAAAGCCTCAACAGATAAGATCAGGCAGAAGAAAGAATATCTGAACTTTAAAAAGGTTTTTTAAAATATTCCAGTCACAATTTGGGACATGCTCAAGCTGACTTGCCTCAAATGGTAGAGTTAGAAAGTGCCAAGGGTTTCCAATACAATCCCATCAAGGTGGCATGTACCAATGACATCTCACGAGTCAAAGTGAACAATTTCAGTTCACAATTGATCATACTGATAGGTCTCATAGTCAAAGGGATCCATAAACAAGACTAGTGTCGGGCCGGCGCTGCAGCTCACTAGGCTAATCCTCTGCCTTGCGGCGCCAGCACACCGGGCTCTAGTCCCGGCTGGGGAGCCGGATTCTGTCCCGGTTGCCCCTCTTCCAGGCCAGCTCTCAGCTGTGGCCAGGGAGTGCAGTGGAGGATGGCCCAAGTACTTGGGCCCTGCACCACATGGGAGACCAGGATAAGTACCTGGCTCCTGTCATCAGATCAGCGCGGTGCACCGGCCGCAGCACGCCGGCCGTGGCGGCCATTGGAGGGTGAACCAACGGCAAAGGAAGACCTTTCTCTCTGTCTCTCTCTCTCACTGTCCACTCTGCCTGTCAAAAAACAAACAAACAAAAAAAAAACAAACAAAAAAAAATAGTGTCTTCGAATACTAACTGATAAAATAAAAAAGGGAGAGAAAGATCCAACATGGGAAGCGGGATACACAGCAGACTCATAGAATGGCAGATGTCCTAAACAGCACTCTGGCCTCAAAATCAGCCCTTAAGGTTTACGGATCTGGCTGAAGAGCCCATGAGAGTATTTTAGGCATGGAAAGCCAAGACACTCTGGCAAAAAAAAAAAAAAAAAAGAAACAAAACTAAATGAAAGATCTCTGCGAGTGAGATCCCAGTAGAAAGAATGGGCCATCAAAGAAGGAGGTACCTTTCTCTGAAGGGAGGATGAACCTCCACTTTGACTACGACCTTGTCTAAATAAGATCGAAGTCAGCGAACTCAAAAGGCTTTCATAGCCTTGGCAACTCATGACTAGAGCCTAGGGAGATTACTGATGCCATAAACAAGAGTGTCAATTTGTTAAGTCAACAACAGGAGTCACTGTGCAATTACTCCTCATGTAGGATCTCTGTCCTTAATATGATGTTCAATGTGAATTAATGCTATAACTAGTACTCAAACAGTATTTTACACTTTATGTTCTGTGTGGGTGCAAACTGTTGAAATCTTTGCTTAATATATACTAAACTGATCTTCTGTATATAAAGATAATTAAAAATGAATCTTGATGTGAATGGAATGGGAGAGGGAGCGGGAGTTGGGAGGGTTGCGGGCAGGTGGGAAGTTATGAGGGAGAAAAGCCATTATAATCCATAAGCTGTACTTTGGAAATTTACATTTGCTAAATAAAAGTTAAAATAAATAAATAAATAAGGAAAGAAAATAAATGAATATTTTTAAGAAAAGAAAAAATATTCCAGTCTCATGATGAAATTCATATGGAGGCACAGGAGACCTCGAATAGCTAAAGCAATCATATACAAAAAAACAGAGCTGGAGGCATCATAATACAAGATATCAAGACATACTACATTGCAATTATAAGCAAAACAGACTGATACTGCTACAAACACAGATGGATAGACCAATGGAACAGAATAGAAACACCTGAAATCAATCCAAACATCTACAGCCAACTTATATTGGATCAAGGATCTAAAACTAATTCCTGGAGCAAGGACAGTCTCTTCAACAAATGGTGCTGAGAAAACTGGATTTCCACATGCAGAAACATGAAACAAGACCCCTACCTTACACTTTACACAAAAATCCACTCAACATGGATTAAAGATCTAAATCTATGACCCAACACCATCAAATTATTATAGAACATCAGGGAAAGCCTGCAAGATATAGGCACAGGCAAAGATTTCTTGGAAAAGACCCCAGAAGCATAGGCAGTCAAAACCAAAATTAACAACTGGGATTGCATCAAATTGAGAAGTTTCTGTACTGCAAAAGAAACAGTCAGGAGAGTGAAGAGACAACCAACAGAATGCGAAAAAATATTTGCAAACTATGCAACAGATAAAGGATTAATAACCAGAATCTACAAAGAGATCAAGAAACTCCACAACATCAAAACAAACAACCCACTTAAGAGATAGGCCAAGGACCTCAATAGACATTTTTCAAAAGAGGAAATCCAAATGGCCAACAGACACACGAAAAAAAGTTCAGGATCACTAGCCATCAGGGAAATGCAAATCAAAACCACAATGAGGTTTCACCTCACCCCAGTTAGAATGGCTCACATTCAGAAATCTACCAACAATAGATGCTGGAGAGGATGTGGGGAAAAGGCACACTAACCCACTGTTGGTGGGAATGCAAACTGGTTAAGCCACTATGGAAGTCAGTCTGGAGATTCCTCAGAAACCTGAATATAACCCTACCATACAACCCAGCCATCCCACTCCTTGGGATTTACCCAGAGGAAATTAAATTGGCAAACAAAAAAGCTGTCTGCACCTTAATGTTTATTGCAGCTCAATTCACAATAGCTAAGACCTGGAATCAACCTAAATGCCCATCAACAGTAGACTGGATAAAGAAATTAAGGGATATGTACTCTATGGAATACTATACAGCAGTCAAAAACAATGAAACCCGGTCATTTGCAACAAGATGGAGGAATTTGGAAAACATCATACTGAGTGAAATAAGCCAGGCCCAAAGTGAAAAATATCATATGTTCTCCCTGATCTGTGACAACTAACCAAGCACCTAAAAGGAAACTTGTAGAAGTGAAATGGACACTATGAGAAAGAGTGACTTGATCAGCCCTTGTTCTGACTGTCAAGGAACAACTTACTATTTTATTCCTTTTAGTATTTTTTTGTTCTACTTAATACCATTTGTTGAACTCTTTAATTAACACAGTTATTTTTAGGTGCTTAAATTTAACTGAAAAGTGATCTCTGTTAAATATAAGAGTGGGAATAAGAGAGGAAGGAGATGTACAGTTCAGCACATGCTCACTCAGACTTACCCCTAATGGTAGAGCTAGAAATGTGCCAGGGGATTCCAAATCAATCCCATCAAGTTGGCACATACCAATGCCATCTCACTAGTCAAAGTGATCAGTTTAAGTTCATAATTGATCATACTGATAAGTCTAAGAGTCAAAGGGATCACATAACCAAGACTAGTGTCTGCTAATAATAACTGATAGAATTAAAAAGGAGAGAATGATCCAACATGGGAAGTGTGATACACAGCAGACTCATAGAATGGCAAATGCCCTAGAATGGCAAATGCCCTAAACAGCACTCTGGCCTCAGAATCAGCCCTTAAGGCATTTGGATATGGCTAAAAAGCACAGGAGAGTTTCTCAGGCATGGAAAGCCAAGACACTGTGGCAAAAAATAAATAAATAAATAAATAACCTAAATGAAAGATCTCTGTGAGTGAGATCCCAGCGGAAATAATGGGCCATCAAAGAAGAAGGTACCTTTCTCTGAAGGGAGGAGAGAACTTCCAGTTTGATTATGGCCTTGTCTAAATAAAGTCGGAGTTTGTGAACTCAAGAGGCAAGAGTCTTCCATAGCTTTGGCAGCTCATGACAAGAGCCTCGAGTGATTACTGACGTCATAAACAAGAGTGTCAATTGTTACATCAACAACAGGAGTCACTGTACACTTGCTCCCCATGTAGAATCTCTGTCCTTAATGTGTTGTACTATGCTAATTAATGGTAAAACTAGTATTCAAACAGTACTTTATACTTTGTGTCTCTGTGTGGTTGCAAACTGTTGAAATCTTTACTTAGTATATACCAAGTTTATCTTCTGTATATAAAGATAATTAAAAATGAATCTTGATGATGAATGGGATGGGAGAGGGAGATGGGAACGTTGTGGGCAGGAGGGTGGTAATGAGGGGGAAAAACTGCTATAATCCAAAATTTGTGCTTTTGAAATTTATATTTATTAAATAAAATTTTAAAAATTAAAAAAGAAAAAAATATTTCAGTCACACAAAGCATTTAAAAAGAAAGGGGATAGTCTCTGAAACCCTCATGGTACTCTTTTTTTTTTTTTTTTAAAAGGGGGGGGGATATTTTAATTGTGGGAGCTTCTGAAGGCAAAGAGAGAAGCAGAGTCTCAGAAAACCTGCTCAATGGTGTAATAGCTAAAATCTTCCCCTATCTGGAAAAATACAAACATCTAAGTGCAACAACTCAGAGAATATGACCAGAAATGATCCTCATTGTGACATGATATAGTCAAATTTTCAAAAATACAAAACAAAGAAACAACCTTAAAACTTGCAAGAGGAAAGTGTAAGGTCACGTTTAAGAAAATTCTCGTTACATTAACAGCAGATTTTTCACCAAAAGCCTTACAAATCAGAAGAAAACGGGATATGTTCCAAACTCTGAAAGATAATACCTACCAACCAAGAATACATCACTTAGTGATGTTACCTTTTGTAAATGAAGGAGAAATACTCTCCAAGACAAGCAAAAGCTGAGGGATTGACTGCCACCAGACCAGAGTGAACAAAAGGTGCTTTAGGAAGTCCTACGCAGAGAAGCAAAAGATGATAACCATCAGGAAAACAGCTGTACACATAAAATCCACTAAAGACAGAACCAAGTATATTCAAACAGAAGAAATTTTAAAATGAAAATATTGTTATTATTTATCAATAAGCTTCCCTTGCCCCATTGAAAGACACAGGTTTAACAGATTAAAAACAATATCCAACAATATGCTGCCTACAGGAAACTCATTTCACCAATAAAGACACACACAGACTGAAAGTAAAAGAACAGAAGATACTTCACATGAATGCAAACCAAACCTGAGCAAGAGTAGCCAAACTGATTTCAGATAAAAAGGCTTTAAGACAAAAATTGTAAATACTTCCAAAGAATGTCACTATATAATGATCCAGGGACCATTGTAAATGTTTATGAACCTGGGGCTGGCGCTGTGATGCAACCCATGTGGGTGCCAGTTCTAGCGCAGGGTGCTCTTCTTCTGCTCTAGCTCTCGGCTCATGTGCCTGGGAAAGCAGTAGAAGATGGCCCAAGTGCTTGGGCCCCTGCACCTGTGTGGGAGACCTGGTGACCTGGAAGAAGCTCCTGGCTCCTGGCTTTGGATAGGCCCAGCTCCTGCCATTGCTGCCCTTTGGGGAATGAACCAGCATATGGAAGACCTTTCTCTCTGTCTCTCTCTCACTGTAACTCTACCTGTCAAATAAACAAATAAAAGAGAAGTACCTTCAAGTTTATGAACCTAATGTCACTGCACTCAGTTTTATAGAACAAACATTATTAGATCTAAAAGGAACTGTAAGTTCCAACACAATAGAAGTAGTAATAATATTCATCAATATAATTGAAAATGAATCTTGATGAAGTATAGGATGGGAGAGGGAGTGGGAGATGGGATGGTTGCAATGGGAGAGAGCTTATGGGAGGAAAAGCCACTATAATTCAAAAGTTGTACTTTGGAAATTTATATTAATTAAATAAAAATTGAAAAAATCATCAATAGACAGATCATGCAAACAAAAAACGAATAAAGAACATCAGAGTTAAGCTACACTATAGATCAAATGGATCCTTCAAACACTTACAGAATATCCAGTCAACAGCTGCAGAATATACATTGTTTTCATCAGCACATGAAACATTCTGTATCATAGACCACACATCAGGCCACAAACCAAGTCTTCACAAATTAAAAAAACTCAAAATCATATCATGTATTTTATTTTTTCTGACCACAATGAACTAAGTCAACAACAAAAGAAACTCTAGAAATTACCCAAATATATAAAAATTGTACTACATACTCTTGAATGAACAATAGTTATGGAAGAAACCAAAATGGAAGTGAAAAACTTCTTTAAAACAAATGCAATTGGTAGCAAAACATAACACAACTTATAGGATATAGCAAAAGCAGTACTAAGAGATAATAAGTACCTATCAAGGAAATGGAAAGATAAAATAAACAACCCAGTGATACATCTCAAGGACCCAGAAAAACAAAAAACAAACCCAGAGTTACAAGAAGGGAAAAAAAATAAGAATCAAAGGAGAAATAAATGAAATAGAAACTAAAAAAATACAGAAGAGATTAAAGAAATGAAGTTTATTTTCTGAAAAGAAACTAACAAACTTTTAAACCAAGAAAAAAAGGGAGAAGACTCAAATAAATAAAATCATAAATAAAAAGGAGATATTACAACTGATACCACAAAATACAAAGGATCATTGTGGACGATTCTCAATCAGCTGGAAAACCTAGAAGAAATAGATAAATTTATAGATACATGTAGCTTACCAAAATTGAGCCATGAATAAACAGAAAGCCTGAATAATTAATGAGATTGAATCAGTAATCAAAGTCTTTCAACAACAAAAAAAGTTGAACTCTATCCAGCTTCTAAGGAAGAACTAATACCAGTATTATTCAAACTGTTTCAAAAACATTCAAAGGGAAGAAACCCTTCCAAACCCATTCTACAAGGCCAGTATTACCTTGATTCTAAAACCAAACAAGGAAAACATATACAAAAAATTGTAAACCAATATCACTGATGAATATAGATGTAAAAATCTTCAACAAAACACTATAAAATTGAATCCAGCTGGCGCCGCGGCTCACTAGGCTAATCCTCCGCCTAGCGGCACCGGCACACCGGGTTCTAGTCCCGCTCGGGGCTCCAGATTCTGTCCTGGTTGCCCCTCTTCCAGGCCAGCTCTCTGCTGTGGCCGGGGAGTGCAGTGGAGGATGGCCCAAGTACTTGGGCTCTGCACCCCATGGGAGACCAGGAGAAGCACCTGGCTCCTGCCATCGGATCAGCGCGGTGCACCGGCCGCAGCGCGCTGGCCATGGCGGCCATTGGAGGGTGAACCAATGGCAAAAAGGAAGAGCTTTCTCTCTGTCTCTCTCTCTCACTGTCCACTCTGCCTGTCAAAAAGAAAAAAAAAAAAAGAAAAAAAAATTGAATCCAACAACACATCAAAACCATCATTCATCATGATCGAGTGGGACTTAGCCCAGGGATGAAGGGAGGGTTCAGCATGCACAAATCAATAAAGTAATATATCACATAAAGAGAATGAGAAAAAATCATACTAATCTCAATAGAGAAAAAACATACAAGGAAATTCAATACCTATTCATGAATAAAAAAAACTTGAACAAGTTACTTATGAGGAATATACCTCATACTAATAAAGGCTACATATGACAAACCCACAATTAACATCATATTGAATGGAAAAAAGCTCAAAGTACTTATTTTAAAATCTATAGCCAGGCAAGGATATTCACTCTCATTGCTTTTATGCAGTATAGTACTAGAAGTTTTAGCCAAATACTATTAAGCAATAGAATAAAAGGCATATAAATAGGAAAGGAGCAAGTCGAATTATCCTTGTTTGTAAATGACATGGTTCTATATAAAGAAAAACCTAACTACTCCATCAAGAGTCTATCATAACTGTTGCACAAATTTTAAAGTTTCAGGATACTAAATCAACACCCAAAAATTAGTAGCAATTTTATACACCAATAACTAACTGAGAAATAAATTGTATGAACAATTCCATTCGCAATACCTACAAAGAAGTAAATGACTTTTCAGTAAAATTAGCCAAGAATGAAAAAGACACCTACAATAAAAATTATATGGACAGCTCTGTGGCTTAATAGGCTGATCCTCCACCTGAGGCACTGGCACCCCAGGTTCTAGTCCCAGTCGGGGCGCCAGATTCTGTTCCGGTTGCCCCTCTTCCAGGCCAGCTCTCTGCTGTGGCCCAGGAGTGCAGTGGAGGATGACCCAAGTGCTTGGGCCCTGCACCTGCATGGGAGACCAGGAGAAGCACCTGGCTCCTGCCTTCAGATCAGCGCAGCGCACCAGCTGCAGCAGCCATTGGAGGGTGAACCAACAGCAAAAGGAAGACCTTTCTCTCTGTCTCTCTCTCTCACTGTCCACTCTGCCTGTCAAAAACAAACAAAAAAATTATAAAACACTGTGCACTTACTCCTCATGTAGGATCTTTGTTCTTAGTGTGCTGTACATTGAGATTTAATGCTATAACTAGTACTCAAACAGTATTTTTCACTTTATGTTTCTGTGTGGGAGCAAACTGTTGAAATCTTTACTTAATGTATGCTAAACTGATCTTCTGTATATAAAGAGAAACAAAAATGAATCTTGATGTGAATGGAAGGGGAGAGGGAGTGGGAAAGGGGAGAGTTGCAGGTGGGAGGGACGTTATGGGGGGGAAGCCATTGTAATCCATAAGTTGTACTTTGGAAATTTATATTCATTAAATAAAAGTTTAAATAAAAAACAAAAAAGGCATTTAGTTGGAATTGTCACTACTCTGAATAAAAGAGACAAGCCTTGAAAAAAAAAAAAAGAAATTGAAGAAGACACAAAGAAGTGAAGATTTACCATATTCATAGATTAGAAGAATTAATATTGTTTTAATGTCCATATTACTCAAATCAATTTATAGATTCAATGCAATCCCCATCAAAATACCTATGACAGTCTTTAGAGAATCAGACAAGACAATCCTAAAATTCACATGGAAGCACAAAAT